CAAACATGACAACATAAGAAACACAGACATGAAGCACATGAAGGACAAGGGAGACTTAACAGGGGTTGGGTACACAAGGGGAATCTAATAAACAAATGGACTTAGATAACCTAATGAACAAAATAAACTCAAACTTAAAACGCTGAGTCAAAAGACCCAGGATCATGACAAACTGAAACCAACTTGGTTACTAAACAGTTTTTTAATTGCTTTGGTAATCTGCTGATTTTACTTTTGCGGCCATCATGATGTAAAGATTGTGGTTATGAATCATGTCTAACCAGTAACTTGGTGGTTTTGCTTGCTCATGTCCTCTCAGAGTGAATTGTAACACAAGTTATAGCCCTAATTAATGGGGAAGTGTCTTAAAACTGGATTCTTTCTAATGGTTGACAGGGGCAAAACTTCCAGTTTCAAAATAAAATCTTGGTGTACAGATATCTGGAAGGTTCCTAATGAGTTCGTGGTCCAAGTCTTATCAGAAATGTTGATGTTTATTTTGTGAAGGATAGTACTGTTTAGAGCAGGGGTGGGCATTTCCAGGCCTCGAGGGCCGGTGTCCTGCAGGTTTTAGATCTCACCTTGGGTCAACACACCTGAATCACATGATTAGTTCGTTACCAGGTCTCCGGAGAACTTTAGGACATATTGAGGAGCTAATTTAGCCATTTAAATCAGCTGTGTTGGATCAAGGACACATCTAAAACCTGCAGGGACACCAGCCCTCAAGGCCTGGAGTTGCCCACCTCTGGTTTAGAGTTAGCAAGGGTGATAAAGGGCTGACCCTGTGATACAGCTTCACTTTAGAGGTCACCATGATGGATCATCTGCCTCCAGCTCTATCTAATCCTCTGCATAGCCTCCTGAATTTTATAAACCTTCTTTGTGGTCTTCCTCTTTTCCTCCTGCTTAACAGCTCCGTAGTCAACATCCTTTGCCTAGTGCAGGGGTCACGAACTCCAGGCCGGTGTCCTGCAGTTTTTAGATGTGTCCTCGATCCAACACAGCTGATTTAAATGGCTAAATTACCTCCTCAACATGTCCTGAAGTTCTCCAGAGGCCTGGTAATGAACTAATCATTTGATTCAGGTGTGTTGACCCAGGGTGAGGTCTAAAACCTGCAGGACACCAGCCCTCGAGGCCTGGAGTTCGAGACCCCTGGCCTAGTGCATCCAGTGTCCATCCTCTGCATATGTCCAAAGCAACTCTTCTTTATCTCTAAACCACTCGACCTGAGCTGTGCAGCTAAAATGCAGAGTGGCTTTTTGTGTTAGGCTGTAAACATATTTAGAGAGGCTGTGTTTTCTAAAACGGGTATTTCTGAATATTGGCTCACTGCAGTTTTTTAGTTTTTTGCAATTCCATATTCATTCATTTGTTACAGTCTTATGACCATGTTGGTGTCATTCCTGGAACATAAGACTTAAAACTGCTCAAGTCTCACAGGTGAATCTGACCAGATGGTTGTTGTGATGTCACAGCTTTGTAAATCATGAAAAATACTTCATCTAAAACTAGTCTTAAAGCTTTGGGTTGGGTGTGAATGAGCGTGATGTTGACTTTCCAACACATTTGGGATTTGTTAAAATGCTTGTTAAAATGGGATATGTTTGCTTGAACATAACGAAACTGCCACTGAAAATGAAAATAAAATTGAAAAAGAGGAAGTCAACAAAAATCACCACTGACCTTTTGGTTTGACATAAAGTCCAGTTTCCCAAATGAAATGGAATTGTTTATCCACCACATTCTGACTCTTACACTAACTTTGTTGCTCTTTATATCACCTCACTAGACATCACAAAGATTTTTGGATTTAAAGTGTTTCTGCCAAAAAGCTTTCCAGCTGCTGTGTTTTTCCACAGGTCACAAAGGTATTACATCACATTAACATGCTTGTAGTGATGGTCCTGTCCTGACTTTAATTATGATGTTTAAGAACAACACCATCATAGTGATTTCAAATAAGCCTCACGTTTCAAATTCCTGGTTAGTACTTCATGTACTTCGTATTCAAGCTAAACTGAATTTGTCTCATCTGCCTCACTTTTCTTTCTGCTTTTTGCCTTCAGGTTCCCATTCAAGAGATCACAATGATTCAAATTCATGCAAACCTCAGACATGCCACCTTTACACCATGGAAACCACAGCTAAGAGAAGGATTAAGTCTCTTTTAAGTCTGACCCCTCAACATATTTGGGCTTCACAAGCATTTGAAGGACATGGGAATGAAAAACCGTGAAAATATCTGCTCTGTATTCATTCTGTGAAAAGATGAACTATATCTGACTGACCAGCAGATTATATAAACATAAGCTACATAAATTCTTCTCCACTTAAATCAGAATTGTTACCACTAAAGCCCTGGAAGTTGTTTGACTTGTTGACAACCTTGCTAATGTATTTTTCTCTCCTTAGCTTATGTGAAGCTGTGCAAACTTAGAACCCCGCAAGACTGGAAAGAGAGGGAGGAGAGGAAAAAGAGTGTGTGTATGGAAATGGAAATGGGCAGCAGGGAGGAGGAATGTAAAACATTTGATACTAGTCCAGTGGCTGTTTACACAGTAGTCAGCCCGTGACATCAGCGTCCAGACTTTATAAATGTCAGGCGGCGCAAGAAGGAGCAGTTAGCAAACAGCTGCACTGGTCACACCACACCGTCACACAGTTCACTGAGACAGACCGAGCTCCATCAGCAACACAAGCCCCCATGGACCGACAACTGTGTGACTGTGTGATTGCTTTGGCTGTACTGCTGTGTGTGACTACACAGGTGAGGCCTCCTCCAGCTTATTTACAGTAATCAATTCTGAATGAGACTTTTATCAGAGAGTACTGTAGGTATGTAATGCTGAATTGCTTGTTTTCTTCCTTCATTGATCAACACATTTCCTTTTTAGAGTATTTGTTAATGTTTTCTAAAAGAAAGACGACATTTGCCTTGATTTTATTACAATGATTTGAAATAAAGATGAGATGATTAAAGTCATCCATCAAGAAAAGGTGATGTATAGACAAGCAAGACTGTTGTTAATATTTTTACCTAATTGTTAATGTCTTTTTTGGTTGATCAACCAAAAAAGACACAGTTTACTTGTCATCAACTTCCTCGTTTTGTCTAGCCGACTGTTAGAAACCAGTAGACATTCAGTGTTATGGTAACATCACAAATAGAGACAGAAAACTCTTACAACATAAAAGGGGGGACTACATTTTTTCCCTTGAATATGATGTAAAATATTAATAAGAAGTCGCACCTGTGTTTTTTTGCAGTTATGTATTAGAAAAGTTGTTGACTGTATTTCTTTACAGTAACTTTGTTGTAAAACCTCGAAGGCTTCTCTTGTAAAGTGAAAGTGGACTTGGCCAGACCTCGCCTGTGTTTTGGCTCCTTCAGACACATGTAATTGGAAGCAGTGATTTGACTTTACTGCGTTGGATACCGATTCAGCTTCTGAGAATGCTTATAATATTTTCTTTCCTTCTTTTCATAAGGAATGAGAGTAATAATTTTGGTACTGAAATGATCTCAGCATCAGAAGACTGATTTATGATGATTTTCTCTCATCTTTTCAGGTTTTGTCGTATTGTCGTACCTTCTAACTTATTTTTCTTGCTCCTCCAGGTGCTGTGCCAGTTGTGTGACAGGCCATGCCTTTGCCCCAATCCTGTCCCTCAGTGCCCCACAGGAGTACCCCTGGTGCTGGATGGCTGCCGGTGTTGCCAGGTGTGTGCCCGGCAACTAGGCGAGTCCTGTACTGAGATGTTTCCCTGTGACAACCTGCGAGGGCTTCAGTGCGACTACAGCGCCAGCTTCCCTGGGTTACCTGGGGAGTGTGTCAGTGAGTGTCACTTCTAACAAGCAAACAACCAGGCCCATGTCTGTGTGGGTAGGTTATAAGGGTGGAGGACACATAGGGAGGGAGTAGATAGAGCCTCAGCCAGTTTGCATGACTGGGACACACAGACTGACACTTAATGTTAGAGTCTGCTTAGCTGAGTGGATTCAGGACTGCTGTTGACACATTTCCTGTAATGATTACCCATGAGCATGATAAATTGCAGAGACAACACTGAAAAACAACTAAACAGTGTCTCACTGAAGAGACTTGCTTTTCCATAAAGTGATGCAAGCACTTGCAGGGACAGCAGCTCCTGTGTCCTCACCTCTCTCTCGTTTTCTTCTGCTTCTTCCACCTAACTTAATATGTCCATTTCCTAATTAAGTTTCCCACATCAATGGATAAGCAAAGACAACGTCTGTGTTTCTAACAGGTCAGAAGGATCTGGGCTGTGAGGTCAATGGGATCTTTTACCAGGAGGGGCAGTCGTTCCAGCCCTCCTGTGACACTTACTGCCGCTGCAGGGGGGGCGGGGTGACCTGCGTGCCAGTTTGTCCACTGAATGCTCGTCTCCCCACTCCAGACTGTCCCAACCCACAACACATCCGACTACCTGGGAAATGCTGCAAGGAATGGGTGTGTGAAAACCTTGAAAACACGGTCATTCAGGATGCAATTACAGGTAATGATACAGATGTATGTTGATGTTTTACAGGTGGGGAAAAGAGCTAGCCTGACATGTTTAATGATTCCTTTAAATTTTCCTGACATCAGAGCTGGATGTCTATAACATATTTTCCAGTGTCTGGATTCTAGTGCCAAACGTATGCTCGTGTAGCATATGAGTCTTAGTTGCTCCTCACTGATGATCAATCCATATGTAATATAATCCTTCATTCCTTTTTATGAGCTCTGTTACTGGCGGTCATGTCTGGAAGTTTTTACTGGAGTATTTGTGCATTAAACGGGGTGTGTCAAGCCAAAGGAAAACTCCCCAAATCCAAATATAAACCACATTTTTCTTGGTGAAAACATCCTTTTTTCCCCTCAGTCACCATGCTTCCCAGTTTCATAACAACAACCAAAGCTGTGTGACAATTAAATATATGAAGCCATGTCAAGACCTCATTACTTCATTAAAGGGGGAGTGTGTGAACACATGAGATGGGTGTTAGGGAAATGAAGCCAGTCTGAAAACATCTGGAATTCCAAACACTGTCTGACTCAAACTAAGTTATGAGAACAGCAAAGGAACATTTTGTTCTTCGATACAAAACCTAGCCGGTTATTATGACTTCTACATGTTAGTTTTGTGGCTTTTATTTGCACAAAAATGCACTAAATGTAGCTTTAAAATTTGATGTGAGCAAAAAAAGAACCAGAGAGGTGAAAAAGTCCAAACAGGATCTATTTTACTTTACTTTAAAATAAAGGTTTTCAAACTCTGTTGGGAAGCTGGGTTAAGAGGAAGCTATATAAGCAGGCTGTTCACCATAAATATGTAAGTACTGAGGTAATGAGAGGAGTCAGCTGCTCAGATTGTGAACAGTTCTGCACTGGTAGTTGTTTGTTTGGTAGCGTGATTATTCAGAAGTTATGAAAAGATCTCCATGAACGTTTTGGCAAACGTGGGGATTTGCCGAACTTAAAAGTAACTTTTAGAGTTGGAAGGATTATTGCAGTTGGCAAGATTTGACACAAATTTAAATAAAAACTTAGAGAGATGGTTTTCATTTTCCCTAAAACATGCCAAACTCATTTGCATCTAGATATCCTGGTTTCAGGACTAAATTCCTGTATGGTAGGCAGGGAATCTTCAGCATTGATGAAATGATGCAGTCTCAGATTGTTGTTGTTTTAGTTTTGGTGCATTTAGACTTTGATCTAAAGGTTTGATGCATTTCCAGTATTTGTGTAGCTCAGCAGCTCAGGTAGTTAGCAATAGGCCACCTCAACGCAGGATCCCACAGTGATTAATCACTTCAGCAAGAGCAGAGATATTCAATTGAAATTTAAGGAGGTCCACTGAGAAAATTTCCTCAAACAAGGGTCCACAACATCATAAAGTCCCACACTCTAAGTAAATGCAATATATTTTGAAGTATGCAGTATACAGTTGTATCGATGCCAGTATATAGTCAGGAACTGTCAAACAAAAGAAAATACAATTCAACAGTATTTCAACAATCTTTACTATTATTTTATTCTAATAATAATATAATACTAAAAAGTTCTTTGCTAATTCCAAGCATAATAAGGTTTGCATTCAATAATGAAAAAGAGCTTTTGATAAAGTTGTCTTCAAATAAACTGATTTAAAAATAATGAAAGGTGTAGTTTGAGTCCCCCCTTCTGTTTTTTCTTCTTAACTACATTCTACATATAAATCATCTCTGCTTTACCCCTTCTACTCTCAGTTTCCTGTTCTGCATCACGTCTACTCAGGGAGCTGTGTTTTCCCCGTGCTAAATGATTTGGTTGGCTGAGCAGTATCATGTGATATTGACTACTGTAAAGGAAAAAGCTGCTCATTACAATACACTTACTATAAATGGAAAAAAAAAGTTACCCAGAGTAAAATAAAAACAGCCCATCAGGGCACATGAAGAACGGCATCTGTGTAGAAGAAGCTCCTCTTGAGTCTCATAAATACATACATAAATACATTTATTGATTAATTTTAACTTTCATTCAAAGTTTAATAAGTGCTAAATTTTCACAAAGACTAGAATCACATTTGTCTACTTGACGCAACATGAACTTTGGACATGAATTTTCCTCTTATTGTACTCATTGGTTTGTTTGGTTTCCCTCCCCACCCAGCAATGAAACTGGATCAGTTATGGCCATCTTTGCAGAGGCTTCACCTTCAAAACAACAAGTTTTCACCTGCCCCCTCTTGTGTAGAGCAGAGCACCCAGTGGAGTGCCTGTTCCCAGAGCTGTGGGGCGGGGGTCTCCACACGGGTTTCTAACCAGAATCCTGCATGCAGACTGCAAATAGAAACTCGCCTGTGTAAGGTGCGACCTTGCCACACTTTCCAGCCGGCCCCAAGGAAGCCCATGGTGAGCGCTAACAAAACCCACATCCTGTAAATGTGTACATTTACACTTACTTTCAGGTTCACGTATTGCTTCTTTCAAAACTGTAACGAGAA